GTTTTATAACAAGCAAAAGTTTATTTAGAAAGTCACAGAGAAAGAAATGAGTCAGCTGGCTGCATGGGCTCAGGAAACAAGTTACAGATGTAAAAGAAAGGAAAGAAAAGCCAACAAAATGTGCCTGAAGGATGAAGAGGGGTAAAGGTGGGCATGCTCGAGAGAGAAAAAGATTGTATCTCCTTGCCCGGCTGGTGTGGCTCAGTGGATTAGTGTTGTCCCATGGACTGAGAGGTCCTTGTTTGAATTCTGGTCAGGGCACACGCCAGGGTTGCAGGCTCGGTCCCCAGTAGAGGGGAATGCGGGAGGCAGCCGATCAATGTTTCTTTCTCACATTAGTTTTCCTACCTCTCTGTCCCTTCCTCTCTCTCTAAAAAAATCAATAATATTTATATGTTCATATATGTATAATATACTGCACTTCCATATCCTTATTTACACTGTTAAAGTTCTAAGTTTATCTATTCTTCCCCTAAATTCATTGAGCATCTTTTACCAGTGTTTTGAACTCTGCATCTAGTAGATTGCTTGTCTCCATTTTGTTTAGTTCTTTTTCTGGAGTTTTGTTCTGTTATTTCATTTGGGACCTGTTTCTTTGTCTCCTTATTTTGGCTGCCTCCCTGTGTTTGTTTCTGTGTATTAGATAGAGCTGCTATGTCTCCCAGGCTTGGTAGAGTGGTTAATGTAGTAGGTGTTCTGTAGGGTCCAGTGGCACAGCCTCCCTGATCACCCCAGCTGGGCCCTCCACGTGTGCCTCTCCACCCCACCTCTGGGGGCTGCACACACTATCCTGTTATAGTTGAGCCTTGCTTGCTTTTGGCACCTCAACGGGAGGGATTTACCCCCAGGCCCTATTGATTGCAAAGACTGACTGAGCACTGTGGAGGATCAGCTGTGCAGGGACCCACCTCACAGAGCAGGGCTTACTCCAGCAGGGCTCTCTGGCCTGCTGAATCCACCCCGTGAGTGTGTCACTTGTGGAGGTGGCTGGGTGGTGCTTTGATGTGGTCTGAAGCTTCTCCCAGGTGCGCTGGCTCTGGGGCCTCCCAGGAGGTGCAGGCAAGGTCAGCTGCTGCCCGTGCTCTGCCTGGGGCACCAGGCGTGAGCTCTGCAGCGATCTGCAGGAGGCTGCGACTACTGCTGGGTTTGGAGCTGCCCAGGAGAGGCCACGCTGCGAACCAAGGCCAGCTGCCTCTGGTGCCAGGCCTGGGCCGCTCAGTGAGAGGTCGGGGCTCGCTAGGGCCAGATGCTGCTTGTTTGAAAGATTTTAGGAAAGTCTGAAGCACGAGCCAAGACAAGCTGTTCTTATGGGAAAGCCACTGGAAACAGCTTGGGTGAGCCCGCCAGCTGGGTGGGGCAGGGTCCCCGGGAATCACCAGGGCCAGACAAACCGTGTGAGCCTGGTTGATGGAGACTCGGATATGGTGCCTGCCTGATGGGCGAGGGCCAGAGAAGAAACAGTGGCCTCTGCCAGCACGTTGGTCTGGGAGAGAGCTGCCCCTCCAGCCCTTACCCTGATGCCAGACAATTTGGTTCCTGCCTCTATGTCCCTGATGCCCCAGCACTGGAGCTCAGAGGCAGTGAGTCCAAGTAAGTCCATGTGTGGGCCCTTTAAGGAGAACTGCCTGGGACTCTAGAAGCCTCAGTCTTCCTCAGCCACAATCCCCACTGGTTTTCACAGCCAGAAGTTATGGGGACTTCTCTTCCTGGCACTGGAACCCTGGGCTGGGGGTCCTGGTGTGGAGCTTTGACCCCTCGCTCCTGAGGGTGGGGGGGGGACATCTCCACAGTCAAGATTTTTATCCCCCACACATGGGCGTGGGACCAACCTCTTTCACGTCTCCACCTCTCCTAGCAGTCTCAACGTGGCTTCTTCTTTATATCCTTAGTTGTAGGACTTCCATTCAGCTCTGTTCCAGGCGGTTCTCAATGACGGTTGTTCTGCAGTTTAGTTGTAATTGGATGTGGTTGTGGGAAGATATGAGTACTGCATTTACCCATACCACTATCTGGACCAGAAGCTTCTCTTCTAACATTTTTTAAAATATGTTTTTACTGATGTTAGAGAGAGAGAGAGAAACATTGATGTGTGAGAGAGATATCAATCGGTTGCCTCCTACCCTATCATAGATCAAACTATCAACTTGGGCATGTGCCCTGCCTGGGAACCAAACCATTGATCTTTCTGTGCATGGGACAGTACTCACCCAAATGAGCCACACCAGCCAGGGTTCTTCTAACATTTTAATTAACAACACTTCATCCTCCAGGGATGTTTGTGTCACATTGGCGAGACACTTTCAGAAGAAAGAAGGTGAGAAAATCTATGTTCAGATAAAATACAGAGCCTGAGGAATTTTTCCTACTATTGTCATTACACCAACAGGGATTTCTTAAGCAATGCAAACATGTATCATTTTGCCATGAATAAAGCAATGTTATCAAAAGGTAGAGACAAAGTATTTTTTGAGCAAAATTGGAGCAGGGCCCAGTGATTTAAGACCAAATAAAAATCGAATGAAGTAAGGAATAAAAAGGAGATAGAAGAGAGCCCGTATACCAGGTGAGACATGGACATGCTCAGGGCGTCTGGGGTTGGAGGGACCTGGCAGAGAAGCTGGTGGCACCCCTTCCGTGTCGTATGATCACATTTCTGGCGGTGAGATGTGGTGATGTGGGAAAAGTGGGAACTGTCTCACTCTAAAGCAGTGATGAGAAGGCATATGATGCATCATGAGCTGAAGCTTATGAAGCACGTAGTATGAGTGACACACTGAGCACTCTGGGCCCATCATCTCAATTTAATCTTCCTAACATCCCTGTGGTTTAGGTACAGTCACTGTCCTCACTTTGTAGATGAGGAATCAAAGGCACACAGATGTTAAGAAATTGCTGATACCTGCATTCCCATGTTTATTGCACCATTATTCACAATAGCTAAGATATGGAAATAACCTAAGGATCCACCTATAGATGAGTGATATATGATGAATGAAGGAAATGTGATATATATACAATTCAGTCATGAGAAAAATGGAATTCCTGCCATTTGTGACAACCTGAACAGACCTTGAGGGCATTGTGCTAAGTACAATAAGACAGATAAAGAAAGACAAGTATTGTATGATATCACTTATATGAACAGCCTAAAAAAATCCAAACTCATAGAAACAGAGTAGAACAGAGGTTACCAGGGGCTGGGAGTTGGGACATGGGGAGATGTTGGTCAAAGGACAGAGACTTCCAGTTGTGAGATTAATAAATCCTGGAGTACTGTACAGCATGGCGCCCATAGTTAACAATACTGTATTATATACTTGAAAGTTGCTAAGAGAGTAAATCTTAAATGTTCTCACCACAAAAAAGAAATAGTTAGCTATGTGAGGTGATGTTGGTGTTAACTAGTTCTACTGCGGTGATCATTTCACAAGTGTATCAAATCAACATGTGTACACCTTAAACTTGCACTATGTTATATGTCAATTATATCTCGATAAAACTGGGGAAAAATAAAATTTTTCTGTTCAACAAGACTGGATATTAAAAAAAGAAATAGCCTGGCTGGGGTGGCTCAGTGAAGTGAACATCATCCCATGGACTGAGAGGTCCTCGTTCAATTCCCAGTCAGGGCACACACCCGGGTTGTGGGCCTGATCCTGGTAGGGGGTGTGCAGGAGGCAGTCAATAGATGTTTCTCTCTCACATCGATGCTTCTATCGCTCTAAAAAAAATAAATAAAAACATATTTTGAAAAGAAAATAAATAGGGTATAAATCATATAAAAATAAATAAAATATCAAACAGGAAGAAAGAAGGGAGAGAGGGAGGGAGGACATCGCTCAGGGTACCACATGGCAAGTGTTGAATCTGAGCTTTGTGCCCTGGAGCCAATAAGCCCCTAGGTTGGGGGCCTCAGCCACTGCACAGTACACCTCTCTCTGCCTATGTTTATTTTCTTCACCTACATTGTTTGAATACAACAATGTAGTATTCAGACGTCTATGAAACGTCTAGTTAAACGTCTATTAACCACCTTGTTATTTTAGTTGAAATAAAATCAATTTCAATAATTAGTCAAAGACACTTGATTTAATAACTTAGTTTTAAAGTTATTTGTAATGCAATGTAATATGCCAAGCAGAATACGAGAGTTGAGGCAGGTCGTGCAGGGCTTTGTGGACTTGGCTGAACGATTAAACTTGACTGCAGGGTCAGTGAGAAGCATTCGGTTTTAAGCTTTGGAGTCAAGCAGTCCCATCTGTGATTTGGAACATCCCTCTAGTGGCAATGAGGGGTTTGTACTGGAGAAAGTGAGAGCAAAACTGGAGACCAAAGGCTCAGATCGGGGATGAGAAGATTCTGCACTGAGACCCGAGGCATGGGGAAGGATTAGAGGGGAGAGATGGAAATCAAGGAAAGACGGCGGGATCACCAGCAGGTTGTGATGAACGAAGGTGAGGTGGGAACCATGTTGAGTCTCCAAGGATTCTGCATGGATCACAGGGTAGTTGGAGATAAAATTCACCAAGATTGATTCTAATAAATTGAGATTTGCAATGATGAATACAGTTTTCTAGAGAAGAAAACATAATTAAATCTTCACGTCTCCATTTTGGTTTGTCTGTATAGTCCTCCCTCTGTTTTCTTTGGATCAAAGCCATTTTCATTTCATCAGATACACCCTTCTTTTTATAGATGCAACTCCAGCAGTTCTATTTTATTTTATTTTTTTTTTGAATTTTTGTAAGTGTTTGAGCCAAACCGAGGACAATGTCGGGAAGCAAGATATCAAATGCTTCACTCCAGCAGTTTTAAGACTTCAAATTTTAATTTATGGGAAGTCTACTTATGTCCCTCTTGGTCTTTTAAAGGCAACTTCTTTGTGCAATTTCCCGGACCCATCAAGTTTGCCCAATTGCTTGCAAATGCATATTGTTCAAGGAGATAAATGACTTTAGCAGAAAATTGATGTCTCACTTGTTGAAATCTTGTGGTTCCAGGCTGCCCTGGCAGGAGGCACCACCATGATCATCGATTTTGCCATTCCTCAGAAAGGCAGCTCCCTCATCAAAGCCTTTGAGACCTGGCGAGGCTGGGCTGATCCCCAAGTCTGCTGCGACTACAGCCTTCACGTGGCAGTGACATGGTGGAGTGACCAGGTGAACCGCCCAGGGGTCCAGTTTCTTCCATTCAGTTCCCTAATCTTTGCTCTGCACAAGATCAAGAAACTGGTAATGTTTAAACACAAGAAACTGGTGGATGACTGAAGGTCAGAACTGGAGGGAAGACTTTCTATTGCATGTACTTGTGTACCTTTTGAATTTTGATTCCTGTGCAGTATTGTCAGTTTTCAAAACTAAAATTTAAAAAATCATATACAGCCCAGCTGGTGTGGCTCAGTGGATTGAGCATTGTCCCGTGGACTGAGAGGTTTGATTCTGGGTCAGGGCACATGCCCAGGTTGAAGGCTTGATGCTCAGTAGGGGCCGTGAAGGAGGCAGCCGGTCTATGTTTCTCACATCGATGCTTCTGTCTCTCTCTCTAAAAAATCAGTGAAAAAACATTAAAATTCATACACAGATAATAGCAAAAATCCTTCATAATAATTCACAACAGCCTTTTCTAATATTTAATTCATGACATGTAATTTTAAAAAGTACTGATCTCTCTTTTTCTCGACTTCGACATCTCCAGATTCTTTTAAATGGTATTTTTTTTCACAGACCAGAACTTTACTTAGAGATGTTTAGTTTTTGGTCTGGCCAGTGTGGCTTAGTGGTTGAGTATCAACCCATGCACCACGAGGTCGCTGGTTCAGTTCCCTGCCAGGACACATGCCCAGGTTGTGGGCCCGATCCCCAGTGTGGGGGTGTGCAGGAGGCGGCCAGTCGATGTTCTATCTCATCAATGTTTCTAGCTCTCTCTCCCTCTCCCTTCCTCTCTCTGTAAAATCAATAAAGAAAAAAAAATTTTAAGAAATGTTTAATTTTTGGAGAAAAACCAAAGAAATTATTTAAAACTAGATGCTTCCATTCTAACTCTGGGCCCTCCGCCCCCCCCTCTCTCTCGTGCACTAGAAAGAGAAGGGAGAACAGACCGAGATGTTTCAGGGCTTCCTCCCAGTGGTCTCCCAAGCCGGTGCTCTTTCTGCGCGACTGTTGATGTCACCCCCTCGTCAGATCATTTCACGGTGGAGCTTAGACCAGCCTTCCACAGCTGCTCGTCACTTAGGCCATAGCAGAAATGTAACGTGATTCAGACAAGGAAAATGGTTTTGAGAGATGTTAAAATGTATCCATTTCTCCCCATATAAATTTACATGTGTACTTTAGAAGAAAGTTTTACTTGTGATTTAAATCAACAACGTGTTTTTCCATATTGGACTTAATTCAGAAATCTTTTTACCAGAAAGGGTTCACAAGGGTGACTTTATTTCATGTTACCATGTAACTTAGGCCCCCACCTCCCCCGAAAAATTGGGCTTTAGACACCAAGTTAATATAAAACAAATAATCAATCTTTAACAGGTAGCTTAGCAAATATAGTAGCAAGGTTCACAGTCCACAGCTAAAGTTAATTTTTCTCCAAAAATGCCATTCGAAGTGAGGCATCTGATCTCTTTTATGCTTTGGGGGTCTTCCCGCCTTCCTGGTTTCCTCCCTCCCTCCCTTCCTCATTCCTCCCCTCTGATTTTACTGCAGCAAACGTGATGATGATCGCCCTTACCAGCACCTCTCACACTTAAAGGTGCCAATGGATACCTGGTGAACATTGCTGAAATACAGATTTTGTGCATTATGTGGGTTAGTATGCTTGGGCTGCTGTAACAAAGTACAGAGACGAGGGGGCTTCAGCAACAGAAAGTTATTTTCTTACAGTTCTGGAGACTACAAGTCTGAGATGAAGGTCTGGGCAGGGTTGGTTCCTCCTGGGGCTGTGAGGGAGAACCTGTCCCATCCTCTCACCAGCCTCTGGTGGTTCGCTGGGAGTCTTCGACCTTCCTTGATTTGCAAAAGCATCACCCCAATCTCTGCCTTCATCTTCCCAAAATGTTCTCCCCATGTGCATCAGCATCTGCATGTCCCTTTCTCCTCAGGACATCAGTCAAATTAGTTTAGGGCCCATCCTATGACTTCATCCTAACTAATTACATCTGCAGCGTCTCGATTTCTAAATGAGGTCACATTTAGTACTTGGGGTTAGGGTTCAGTATTTGAATTTTGGGGAGATACAAGTCAATCTATAATAGTAGGTCTGGGTGGGGCTGAGATTCTGTGTTTTGAACAAGCTTCCGGGGATGCTGATGCTGCTGGCTCAGGCACCGCACCTTTGGAGTAGCGGGGCTCAAGCCCTGTGCCTGAGAGTAGGACCGTGGGACTTACCCCTGGGTGCCGATGACAAGGATGGGTGACAAGGTCACCTTCAGAAAGGCTCTTCTACTTAGGGAGCAATCACTATTTCCTCTGAGCGATGCAGATCACAATCCCCTTTGGAAGCCCATCATGTGAATATGCTAATAATGTCATTATGTCATTATTTTTCTTCTGACATTATAAAAGCAATATACCCATGGTAGAAAATTTGAAATCACAGAAAATTTGAAAAATGAGCCAAATGATACCATGATCTGCCCTTGCTGTTGTCACTTAACATATTTTAGAGCTCATTCCATCGTTTCAGTGATGACCACTCTCAACACTTTGATGTTTTTTCCATTCCTTCATATATGTATGTACAAAGTATGACATATCTCATACAGAAGTATATTATTCATTCATTCATTCATTCATTCACTCAACAAATAGTTATTGAGTGGCCACTAGGCACTAGGCACTGTTCTAGGACATGGCAGTGGACAAACTGTACAAAGCCCCTGCTCTCGGGGGTGGGGCGGGGGGGGGGGGGAAGCAGGCCATCACAGGTAACTACGTAATACGCCAGCAGAGAGAGCCACATAGAGAAAAGCAAGGAATATTAGTAAGGGCACATAGAAGGTTAGAGGCGAGTGACTTAACATGTAGCATTGTCATGTTTAACCGTTGCTGGCTCAGCAGAACATGTTCTATTGCTTTATTTTCACCTTTTAATCAGTGGATTTTCACCTTTTAATCAGTGGGAAGGTAAACTTTTTTTTTCTCACATTAATTAGTCGTTTATATTTACTGTTTGAATTGTTGGTCACATTTTTCACCTGGAAAGTTAGGGTTTTTCTTATCAAGTTGAAAGAGCTTTTGTCAACTAAAAGCAATAATCTGTTATATTTTTTGGTGTGTGTTAACATATAGAAGGTCCAACAATTTTTTTTGGTCAAATCTACCAATATATTCTTTGAAGTTTTTGGTCCTTACGAGACTTGAATTGGTAAGTCTCTGCAAGGGCAATCGCTCAGTTAGTCGTGGTCTTTACTTGCCCTTACCATTGTCAGCCGAAGGTTCCTGAGCATCCCCACTGGTCCAGCATCTGTCAGCTCCCAGGAGCTGCCTCGGGCTGGGTCCATCTACACCCTCCACTTCCTCTCGAACTCATCCCGTGGGTTTGCATTTGAGTCCAAACTCCTTACCTCACATTAGCTTGGATTCCTTCTAGACACAAACGTTTCTGTGGCTGCTACATAGCTTTATCTTCACTTTCTAGAATAGTTTCCTCATATCGGGAGTTTATATCCAAGTCTAGAAATGAAGTGCTTTGGGAAAAACTATGAACTCTTCCATGATTTAAAAGTATCACAGCAGCAGATGAAACGGAGTCTAGCATGGGGGAGCGATCAAGGCCTTACTTTCCTCGTTTCTGGAATTAAACTGTTCTTATTTTATTTAATACTCCTCTAAATGTCACGTTCTGGAAAATAAGGAAATTATCTTTAAATTAAACAGTGACATTTTCTTGTTGCTTCCTTTTAGGTCAAAGAAGAAATGAAAATCCTTACTCAAGAGAAAGGTGTGAACTCCTTCAAGATGTTTATGGCCTACAAAGATGTGTACATGGTGAGCGATGGCGAGCTGTACGCAGCCTTCTCTCGGTGCAAGGACATCGGAGCGATCGCCCAGGTCCATGCGGAGAACGGAGACCTGATCGCACAGGTAAGCACGGCCTCCCAGAGCTTCTGCGGGAATGATGAAGGCGATTGACCCTAAGTGGGTAAACTCAGGTAATGCATTGGAAGAAACTGATACTCTGAGATTTAGAAACACCCAATTTCCTTTACTTGAGTCTCTGCTCTGAATTTTACTCAGAAAATATATGATTTTGAATAAGGATTTTTCTATTGCAAAGCAGCTATTATATTAGATCTCAAACTTGTTTATTATAAACACACAAATATTTCTCTTTGTGTAGCCCAGCACGTGTGTGTGTGTGTGTGTGTGTGTGTGTGTGTACATCAGCTTAATCTGATGACTTAGGCAGTGTATTAGGTAACTGTTTAAAGTTTTACTCTTTTCAGAAACCGGGTATTAAAAAGTGCTCTGGAGGAATCTAGATGATATTTATTCCTCGTGTTAGTTCCATTATTAATGCCCTAAGGGTGCGCAGACTGCAAGATTTAAAGAGCTGTCTCCTACCCTTTATATTAGCTGATGTTTTTCTCTCCCCAGGCTCAGTTCCTATTAAAGTCGGGGAGACGCAGGCTCGGGGGCCAGGTGGCCGCGAGGAGGATGGGAGGAGAGCGTGAGCTGTAAATGCGAACAGACCAGGGTTTACAAGATCTCCCACTGTCGGGCTGTGTGATGCAGGGCAAGCCATTGCCCCACGCACTGTCTCGACTTATTGCCTTTTCTGTAAGGAAGACAGAACAGTTCGGAGAGGGGAAATACCTGGTCCAATATCATTCCGCGCGTGGGGGGAGAGGGCAGTGAAGACTGATTCCGCAGAGCAGAATTAACTACCTAATGTAATACCACGAGTCATTTCAACAAGGATCTAATACTGGGGATTCGCATACTTTTGTTTTCTTTTGTTTGTTCTGAGCCAATAATGTCTTAAATCCAAACACTGCTGCTCAAAGAATGATTAGAACGGATCTCATATCTTTTTTACCTTTTCGATCAAAATAATTGAATTGTGAAATATGTATATGAAAGTTAACATACACTGCCAGAAAATTAAATTTACTTTTACCGAATATGCGCACATACATATCTCTCTCTCTCTCTCTCTCTCTCACACACACACACACACACACACACACTCTCCTATACCTACTAGATCTAAAAGCTTGTCAGTGTATGTCTTTTACGATACAGTAATGGCATTTCTCATTAGTACACCTTCCTTGCACATGTGTATGTTCCTGCTGCCTTTTTAGGAAGCAAAGAAGATGCTGGCTTTGGGGATAACAGGCCCCGAGGGCCATGAGCTGTGCCGCCCAGAAGCGGTGGAGGCCGAGGCCACGCTGAGAGCCGTCACCATCGCGGGCGCCGTGGGCTGCCCCCTGTACATCGTGCACGTGATGAGCAAGTCTGCGGCGAAGGTGATCGCGGACGCCAGGAGAGACGGTAACTCGCTCTCCGCTGCGTTCGTAGGGCGTACGGGAAAATAGCTGCAATCTCTCTTCTGCGTGTGAGAAAGTTGCGCATGAATTTCCGCAAGTGTTCGTCCCCCCTTACCATCCCTTCTGCATTCTTTCATCCTGAGGCATGTCTTCTTCTTGTTCTCCCTTTTGCTCACCTTCAAGACGGCTTCTCTTCCTTCAGGTTATTTCTTCCTCATCCTTGGAACCTCAAGACATTTTCTTCAGCCACGGGTCCCCATCCTTAACACCACTATTAGCCCATTTTCTAATCTGATGGCCAAATGTAAACTCTCCAGTTAACTTTAAAGTAGCTTCTCTGTCTCTTAGGCATCTATGTCCACTATTCCTCCCAGTACCCAAATCGGCTTAGTGCAGGGCACAGAGTAGGTCTCCACAAAATTTTTTTGAAATGAATTGATCTATTTCATAACTTGGGTATTGGTGCAACTGAAGCAATTATCCAAATAGTATTTTTTATGCCAATTATGTTATGATTTTAAGACCAAAGTTATTTTACCCCCAAATTGCCTAATTGCCTCAGTTCTTTAGTTCAATTTAATACACAGTCATCATAAAAGAAAGAGAAAGTATCCTATTTTTTATAAGAAATGGGTAGAGATATAATTTCATTCATTAGACAATACTAGTTAAGGAAGGATGAAAAACAAATAAGATGCATTTCATTCAATGGCTTTAGACCCTCCTGGGATGTGCTAATAGTTTCTATCATCTCACTTTTAGAAAACCAAATAATCAGATATAGTCTTCTAAATCATCCTGTTTGTTTGTTTGTGCACTTTTATAATATGGATTATAAAACTATCAAAATACATTTAGCATGTCTATAACTGACACTAAAATACATTTTCCCAAAATTGGTTCTTGTTAATGAAGGTTCAATGACTCTGTGCCACCCTAGTGCATTTTTAAAATGCAATCCATCACTATCTTGTGTTAAGAGTAAACTCGATTTCACACAGGAGTTAATAAGGTGTTACTACCAACCATTTCTGTTTGTCTCCTCACCCCCTTCCCCCAGACCCCTCCATAATGTAATTTCAGTTAAAGAAACACAACACTTGGAAAGAAAACACTGCAATTTTAAAGTTACAGCATTAGATTTTTGCCACCAGATGGCACTGTTGCTAACCTTATGAAATGGTTATATATTGCTGTTCTATACTTGCTTTGCTGAGTAGCATTACAACCTGTCAGTCAGGAACATAATGTCAGAATATGATTTAAGAAACAGTAAATTCAGCAGAAATGGTCGGTCTTAACCCACCAGCAAGCTACAATTTTGACAGATCTGTCAGGAAACAGTCCCTTGATCTTAGGGATTTAATTTGCTCTGGGATAGAATTCCATTAGGAGTAAAATTCTAGGGAAGGTTTTAGAATATAAATCATAGGCAGAAAAATTCAAGTATGAGCATTTAATTTTATTTTCAATTACATTAAATTAAATTAAATTAAATTAAATTTTTGAATATGTAAAAACATTTACATGGTGCACAAGTCAAAGTTATATATTAAAAATGTATTCTCAGAGAAGTAATTGTTTTTATTAATTTACTTGTAGCCGCACTGGCCGATTTGGCTCAGCGGTTAGATCATCGGCCTGCGGTCCGGAGAGACCCGGGTTCGGTTCCCGCTAAGGGCATGGACTTCGGTTGTAGTTTGTCTTCGGCCCTGGTTGGTCGTGCGGGTGGCAGCCACTCAATGTGTCCCTTTCACGTCGATGTTTCTCTCTCTCTCTCTCTCTTCCTCTCTCCCTCCCACTCTATCTGTGCAAAAAATGGAAAAACGTCCTCGGGTGAGGATAAAAAAAATAAAAAATAGTAATTTACTTGTAACCTATTTTTATAGTGTTTCTCTTGATAAAAAATAATATATGTATATTCTTACTTCTCTTTCTTTCCTACACAAAAGGTAAAATGCTATACATAGTGTGCTGTATCTTGCTTTTTTTTTCTACTCAAAACTATGTCTTAAAGGTCAGCTAATATTAGGTATGGAGGCTTTCCTCATTCTCATTCACAGGTGCAGAGTATGCCACTGCATTTGTTCAGCTAGTCCCTAATGATGGATATTTGGGTTGTTTCCAGTCTTTTAGCTGTTACAAATAGAACCACAATGATGGCCTTATGCATATGCTATTTTATATTTGTGGAAGGTGATTTAGTTTTCTATTGCTGCTCTAACAATTACCACAAACTTAGTGGCTTAACGCAACACAATTTTATTACTTGATAGTTCTAGAGGTCAGGAGTCAGGTCTCACTGGGCTAAAACCAAGGTGTCAGCAGGGCTTTGTTCCTTCTGGAAGCTCTAGGGGAATCCCTTCCCTTGCCTGTGTCAGCGTCTGGAGATGACACAAATTCCTCGGCTCTTGTCCCCTTCCCCATCTGCAAAGCCAGCAGTGGTGGGTGGAGAACACTGCATTATTCTGATTCTTCTGCCTTTCCCCTCGCCTTTGAGGAACCCTGGATTACCTTGAGCACACCTGAGTGGTCCAGGATAATCTCTCTGTCTCAGGTCCATCATTTAATCACAACCATGAAGTCCCTTTTACCTTGTAAGGTAACATATTCACAGGTTATGTGGATTAAGACAGGAACAGCTTTGAGGTGCCATTGTTCTGCCTGCCACAAAATTCTATCCTCAGGGTAGATGCCTAGAAGTGGGACAGCAGGTTCAAAGGGTAGATGCATATGTACTTTGGGGATGTTGCTAAATTTCTTTTTAAAGGGATTATAAATGTGGAATTTTTTTTTTTTGGTACGTACCCCTAGCGAGAACTGAACCCGGGACTCTCTGGTCTGCAGGCCAATGCTCCAACTGCTGAGCCAAACCAGCCAGGACTAAATGTGGACTATTTAAAATGTCACCCCAAATGTTATCGTTGAGTCAGACGTATTGTAATAGTACTTGTGAGAATACTCTAATGCACGATTGTCAAAGAGGTAGAAGATCTCTCAGAGTAAATTATGATGAGAGATTTCACACCCCTGGCACATGACTCCTGTCATATGATCAAGGCATGTGATCAAACAGGAACCGAAAGGGGGCAGGGTAGGGCTGGACATAAAGAACACCAAACCATTCACATGGTGACTGCACCAGCCATCCCAAGGGCAGACCCCAGGAGTACCAAGTGACAAGAGCTGGTAGACCATACATTTTACAGAAGATTCATTTACCGTCTGCACTCATTTATTATCTAACACAATTTCTGAACATAAAAAAGCAATGTAAATCTGTTCATTTTTATCTTGTTTAAATAAGAAACAGATTTATATTATGAATATTTCCTACCTGTAAATTCCTTTGCAGGCCATTCTATCATCTAGTGTGGTCCCTGGAATGTAGCATTGACACCCCCTGAGAGCTCACTGGAAATACACAGCTTTGAACCCCTTGAACAGCATCCCAGACCCACTGAATCAGAATATGCTAGAACCTCAGGTGATTCATATGCATATTACAGCTTCAGAGTCACTGTGCCAGTGGGCTTAAAAGATGCCAATTATTAATTGTCTCTATTGTAGTTGTGTGGAAATACAATGCTGTTAAGTTCGATTTCATTGTTGAATTGCCAACTACATACCCAAAAGATAGTAACATGAGGGTTAGTGATTATAATAACCAACACTGTTTGTTGAGTGCTTAACATGGGCTCAGCACAATTTTAATAGCTGGTCTCACTTCAGGTTTTATTACATATTATCTCAGCAGTATATTTTAATATACATTATCATTTTTAATTGTCACAACAATAATTCAAGCTAAATTTTGCCACTGTCTGTGACAGTGAAATTGAGGCTTGGGAAAGTTTGGTAAATTAAGCCCAAGATGCTTCACTAGTAAGCGCTAAACCTGGAATTCAAGCTCAAGTCCACAGCAGCCCAAAGTCCAAATTTATGGTTACTCTGCAATTTACTAAAGAAGAAACCAGTTTAGCCCTGGCTGGTTTGGCTCAGCAGTTAGAGCATTAACCCTCGGACCAATGAGTCATGGGTTCAATTCTGGTCAAGAGGTCAAGGGCACGAATCTGGGTTGTGGTTCTTCCCTGGCCCTGGTCGGGGTTGTGCAGGAGGCGACCAATTGATGTGTCTCTCTCACGTTGGTGGTTGGTGCTTCTCTCTCTCCCTCTCCCTCTCCCTCTCCCTCTCCCTCTCCCTCTCCCTCTCCCTCTCCCTCTCCCTCTCCCTCTCCCTCTCCCTCTCCCTCTCCCTCTCCCTCTCCCCCTCCCCTCCCTCTCCCTCTCCCCCTCCCTCCCTCCCACTCTATCTGAAGATAGATGGAAAAAGATCCCCAGGTGAGGATTTAAAAAGAAGAAGAAGAAGCAGCAGCCCTGGCCAGTTTGGCTCAGCAGTTAGAGCGTCAGTTCACAGACCAGAGAGTCCTGGGTTTGGTTCCCACTAAGAGCACGTACCTCAGTTGCGGTTTGTCCCTGGCCCCGGATGGGGTTGTGTGGGTGGCAACCAGTCGATGTGCCTCTCTCACATCAATGTTTCTCTCTCTCTTCCTCCCTCCCTCCCTCCCGCTCTATCGGAAGATAAATGCAAAAATGTCCTCGGGTGAGGATAAAAAAAAAAGAAGAAGAAACCAGTTTACAAAGTTGGGAAACATAAATATCAAGTTTATATTAATTGCTTTTGGGTTTTGGCCATATATTTAAATTTTTTATTTAAAACATTGTCATAAAAAAAAAAAAACACACACATGCCAGGAAGGGAAATGATCAGGAATGTATGAAATATCACCCTCAGCTCAGTCCTGCAATGACTGATTTTTAACCATATCTATCATCAAGTTTCTGGTGATAACCTCTAAAATCGAAACCATAAATTTATAAATAGTGATTCACAATCTGTGACAGCATCACTTGACTCTAAATTATGAAAAATGAGCAATTTAACTCCTGTCAATCTTACTTTTTACCTCCTGAATTTTGTTAGTAATGATTGTCACCTTCAAAT